TGAATGAAGTATAACGCACTCCGGTACACAACATAATATATAAAGAAAAATTAAGGTTCACAATGACACTTGATTTAAATACAGGCTAACAGTCCTAATAAGAATTCACTTTGATAAACTTATTGTAAATAACCAACCACTTTCTTCTTTTCGCGACGGACAAATGGTAAGACTGACCATTCAATTCTGCAATGCTTCTCACCCCCATCTCGGCCAATAGTCTTTCAGAGAGCGGTGCGCGTCATAATAGTTACGTTGCTTTGAGAAGTCAATGTTACTAGAGGAGTTCCCCGTGCAGCTATCTGTACTCTAGTCAGACTGATACAGGACAGTTCGCGCATCTTGTAACATGTTCCATGTATAAGGGGCTAGTCAGCCCAAGCCCAATGGTGAATGCTTTACGCGTGACATCCCTTCTACATTTTAACACGTTGTATCAGTTCTACTGCAGCAGGTTGATTCCTGTAAAGTGGCTCCAATTGGGCTTAGAGATCCCGGCCCCATGCGTCGTTCAAACCTGTCCAGTTCCCCACGAAATCGTTAAGGGGTACATCTAAAGTTCAAATTAAAATATTATAAAGAAAATCATTTGATAACATAAAGTTATGAAATTGTAGTGAAATTTGAGTGGGGCTGAGCTCCATCAGCCCCTAAGGAAGAACCGCCCCTGTGGTATACCATCCGTATCAGATTGAGGTATATGACTATGTTCATGGAGAACATAACTGTCAGTTGCTCAGCTGATCAAAAAATTCCTTGTCTTTTGTGGAATACAGTACACATTTTCTGAGAAGTAGTGGGTCTCGAAAGGGGTTCACTCAGCCTCGTGAGGATAATTGAGGAGCTATTTCAAGGAAATAACGGCTCCGGTCTAGAAAACCGAGATTAACGGCCGTGAGGATCCGTTGCGCTGACCACGCGACACCCTCTATCCGCTAAATTTGGCACTAATTTCGCCGACAAGCGGCGGTCGGTATAGTTCGCTTGCGGACTAAAACCACGGAGTTTGCTTTGCCGGAGATCTTGTCCAACATACGTGTACAAGACTCTCCATGAGGTGGCCTACTCAAGATACGGCGCACCGTCAGAGACATTTAAGACATGTTTTGAGACGAAATGGCTGTGAATAGCTCCGAAATGATGCAATTGCTGTGAAAGTACTTGGTCCATTTTTGCCCAAAAAAAAAATTGAATTTACAGAATTGAATAAAAAGTCTGCCCTCTATATCCCCTCTTTCCTCTTCTGCAGGATTCTACCCCTTCGTGAGACTCTGTCATTTCCCAGCATTTATTATCTACGACCTCCATTTCCTCTCTTTTCCAAGTATTTCCTAAGTATCTCCCCCAAAGCGAAATAAGGAAGATGCGGCGTGACAGCTAGGGGTTGAAAAGGGTTGTTGTTCCCCCAAAGGCGGGTGAGGCTTATGATTGGAAGCGGAGGTGGTGAGGAGAATCCTGACTGAGGCGTGTCTCGCGGCAGGAATACTAATGTCGCCAAGATTTGGAGAATGAAGCTTGTGCTGATGACGCCTGGGCTTACACGAATTGTCCGGAGGAAGTAATTTTGTTGTATAACTATCAGCATATCTGGCTTCATTCTAGTGCGTCTAATCCTTATACAAATCTTCACGAGGTTTTAACAAGTTTCGTGGGTTCCCTCGAATATGTATGAGGTACCGGTTGATAGCCCTCTGTCTAATGAGGACAAAAGAAAACAGGCTTGCATCTAGACAGGCCAGAGGCTACGTATACTTTCTTGTCAACATGCTGCCTCTCCTGGTGATGGCACTAGACAGGTCAGTGCCTTACAGGACTGCATCTTGTCACGCCGGATGCTAGATCCAGACTGACTGAGTCTACTGAGCCCTGCGTCTGTGTGTGTCCGTGCTGTACGACGCCTTCTCTAGACAAATCGACGTCTAGGATCTTAAGTTAGCATATAGGTTTCGGAGCTTCTAGGTACTTCGGCTTGTAGACTGACAAGACTCGTCGATCGGCGTCTAGTGAGCCAGGATACTGGGCAGGCCTACACGTTGAGAAGCCGGAGACAAGATACCTCGGCGACGAAAGAGGTTAGAAAATAACAGGTCTGTGTCCAGTTAGGCTGGAGATAGGCACTTCATCATGTAGGCTGGTCAGATAAATTGAAGACAGCCCGGAGACTATTGCCAGTGTTTGGGTTGCTTGATGCCGAGTGTGACTGGCGCCTTCGTAGGCGAGCACCAAAACTGGCATCAGAACCGGCGTCCGCAGTGCAGTCAGACAGGCGTTACGGCAGGCCGGAAATAAGTTAGACTGCCGTCTAGTCTGGTCGAGGATTACTATTTTGCCATACCTGCACTAGGGGAATAGACAGTTTGGTGTGTAGTATCTAGGCTGGTCGGCGTATTGGCAGAGAGAGAGAGCTAGTCAGGCCAGCGTCTAGGAAGGCCATAGACAGGATAGGTGGGATAAACTAGCTGAAGACTACACAGGCTGCAGTGTACGCAGCTTGGAGGTGAGCAGATGCCGGAGTCTACATAGTCACACCTCCAGGCTTGATAGGAATAATCAGGTGGCCGAATTGTAGTCAAGTCGCGGTGTGTTCGCGCTGGCGGTCGCCGAGGAATGACAGTCAAGTGAAATCGAATTTCAAACTGACCGACGCATTATCACGCCAGCGTCAATTTGGGTACTGAGCACTTTGGCGTCTGTTCAGGACAGAAACCAAACGGACCTATACCTGATCGTACCGGTTACAATGTTTGCTACGGCCTAGATAGGAGAACAGACCGGGTTGGAAAGTAGTAAATGGTAATTATATAAGCTGGAGAGTATACAAATCGGCCTGTAGTTTGTCGAGAAGAATGGTAGAGGGCGTCGATCAGGGCAGAATCAAGTCCCGCTGGCATCTCAGCCGGCCGGGGACTAGACAGACGTAAATGTAAATTAGAGGGAGAACACGCAAACCAGAGTTTAGTCACTGAGGCGTCTACGAAGAACAGGATTAGGCAGGGAGGCACTTATATTGGCAATATTACGGATAGATAAAGAGGTGTCTCTATTAGCACCATATTGAAGAAGGAATCACTCATCTATACGTCCACATTTCCCATAATATCCGCTAATCTGCCTTATCTTAGGGTCACTCAAGCTGGCTAGGCTGATCTAATCTGTAGTGGCCTAGGCTCTACTGTAACCGTTCATTCTGACTGGAGGACTGTTGTGTGTAAATTAAATTTGTATTAAGTTAAGATTACAAAATTACAAACAAAGAGATCCGGCAGATAGCCAGCTCTTACACGCGGAAGGGACATAGTTCAAGTTTTGCTATGTGGACAGGAAGTAACATCTGGTAATTTCCTGGAATGCTGGCAGTTTCAGCAAAGTCGGAAAGTCTTTGGGAATTTGAGAGCTGACAGCTTGGGACAGCGATAACTTAGAAGTGGGAAGGCCGGAGCCTCACACCCTGATCGTAATGCATCAAGGGGCTGTCAACCTTAGCGTTAGGTCAGCATCTGTCAGAATCACATAGCAGAGCAACATGATTGGGAATTCAAAATTTAGGGAACCTCCTAGTTTGAAAACTTAATCAATGGCAGAAGTGGAGGAGTGGATTTCTCTTGGAGTCTGGGGTTCGTGGACCTCAGGATTCAGAGAGAGGGCATTCCACCTCGAGGAGTCTTGACACAACTTTCGGCAAGTCGGACACAAAATTTACAACTACGGCCCTTCCGTAAAGTAGCATAAGTAAAGTCCAAATTAAGTGTATTAATAAATTCAGTTGTATTCAGAAAGCTGGAAGGGATTAAAGGACTACTAAGTGCAACGGTCTAAAGAGGTGTGTAATTGTAGTGAAGTGTTCTTCCTGCCCTGTCCGAGCCAGACCCGTATAAGACCCTGGATAGGAACTCAGCTCTACAGATTACTGAACAGAACCCAGTTACTCCCGTCTTTACCTGCTCTCGCGTAATAGCTCCAGCAACCACAATTCTCCCTTTCCATCTAACTTCTCGACATCTACGAGAAGAGGGAGGACGGCGATAAGTGGAGCACAACGTAAACAGAACCCAAAGGAGTGAGCGGTGAGAGAGTGGCGACCAACGTAAAGGGCCCAAGGAAGTGAGCGGTTACACTACCAGGCTGGTTAGGCTAATCTGTGATGTCCTAGGCTCTCTCAGGCTGGCTAGGCTGATCTGTGATGTTCTAGGCTCTCTCAGGCTGGTTAGGCTAATCTGTGATGTCCTAGGTTCTCTCAGGCTGGCTAGGCTGATCTGTGATGTTCTAGGCTCTCTCAGGCTGGTTAGGCTAATCTGTGATGTCCTAGGTTCTCTCAGGCTGGCTAGGCTGATCCAATCTGTAGTGGCCTAGGCTCTCTCAAGCTGGCTAGGCTGACAGGTAGATTCTAATAGACTTAGATCAAACCTGCTTGTCAGGTTAGTGAATGATGTGCTAAGCCCTTTATAATGGACTAGGATAGAATATGTAGGCTGGACTGTAATGAGCCTGGAACACTTGGACTGGCTAGGCTAGTCAAGGTTCTCCCAGGTTGACTAACATAGGCTTGTGAAATGAAGGGACGACCTACGTCAGTCATTATTCGATGACAACACACCGTCAGAGATGCTTTAGAATCAGTATGTAACAGGGCGAAGGCTGGAATTCTCTTCTATTCAACCATTAAGTATATGTAGCTCATAGATAATTCTAAGAAATTTGTAATCATCACTTACCACGTGTATTAGAATTACGTTAGACTGCACTTTCAGTGCAATGGCTGAAATCATCTTTGCAGAAACTGTCTGCAGTCACTTCTCCTGACCAAAGTCATGTATGGAAAACACCTTTAAAAATCGATTCGGGGAAATGACGTGCTGCTAAGTGTTGTGAAGAGTCAAAATTCTTGTACCATTGGGGATGTGGATACAGGCCTCTCCACGCTAGGTTTTTCACTGTCACTACCTGCAGTCATTATAAATACAAGGATTGTTGGAGCAGTGTCATATAATTATGAGCAATATAGTGCAAAAGTTATTTTTATTTAAAAAGAAAGAAGAAATACATTGACAAACTGAAATAACATCGAAGGTTTAAAAAATTTTTCCTACTTCAGTTTAATATAATTGATTTAGCTGTTACAAACCTCACAACAGACAGACCACAAAATGGCTCACACAGCAGCTGAGAACACAACAAAACTTGTACTTCTACTTACTAAACATAGTACACCTAACACCTACTGATTACACAATTTAATTAATCTTTAGTTTTAAGACTGTCATGACAAAATGATATAAATTAAAATATAAAGTAAAACACGAAACAAAAATCTTAAACCTATTACATGTAACTAGAGCAATATTTTATTGTGCTTGTGAAAACAGCAAGAATAAGAATGTTTCCCAGTTGTTCCATAACTCGATTTAAAATAGGGTTTGATGCTATTGGCATGAAGATACCTGAAAACAAACCTGATTTTGAAAAGGCATAATAAAGTTCCAGAATTCATTCTCGTGGCTGCAACTAAGGGGAGGTGTACTCAAATACACCAATTTCTGTCTTATTTATTTCAAGAGACGGAAAGACATTTCAATGTCTGTTAATTATAATGGACAATTTTGACAAATAAAATTTAGTCTTAGTTTTATTGCATAAATATAGGTGGTTCAGTGAGTACAGGGGGACTTACATAGTTACGTTGAAATCAGAAAATGATGCCAATTTGTGAACGAAATTAATGTTGCATTTCTGGAACTTGTATGCCAGATTGCTTCTTATAGCACTGACTGCTATGTGAATACTATTTTTGTAAACTGGTACAAGTGTATCGTTCAGACAACTTGAACTTTTGGCAAAATAATTCGGATTTATAGTCGTAATCGAAAAGGGTCTACATAGGACAAATTGAATTCTTCTTAAGAAGAAATCGTATTTCAACTTCCTGAGTTACGTTGCAACATTTGCAAGAATGTTACAGAACATAGTAATTGGAAATTTAATTCCAAAAAAAGTTGTTTTGTGCATAAATATGTTTTCAGGCGACTGTAGAAATTATGATTAAACTCAGAGAGACTATTTTTCAATATTATTGAAGTGAAAACTCTTAATTATGGTTTCCCATAATTGCTTTCAGCAATGTATATTAAATTAAACAAACACTAAAGACAAACACATATCGCCATGTTCGGAAACAACATCTCAGAGACTTTTCTGTCAGTATGACCGTATATCCTTTGTCATGGTCAATGCACTTGTAACTTTCGTGAAAATGACTGCAGTTTGGATGTAACCTGTTTTGAAAAATATGATATGTATATGTAATAATTAACTATTATTAAAATGCAGTAATAAAAATAACAGCATCTGGCTACATATTTGAGGTAGTTGTTTATCTATTGTCATATAGGCCTACGTCATATAAAAATAAACTTCCAATCAAATCTTTTCAGTTTCTTCATCTCAAGCCATGTAGTATCTATGCTGTCGTGAAAGCTGATTATCATTTCACTTGCTTATTACAGAAACATTCACATCGACTAAAAAATTCTACTAAAACAAAACACATTTAAAAATAATATTAATTCGTGTGTATTCGTATTAATTCGCTGATATGTATTACAAAATACGTTGTAGGCCATTTGTATAGCTACTGAAATGGTTCTGGAGCACTCTGTTGGCGGACATGTGTGGTCAGCAATGTGGGTGGGTTCACATCAATGAGTCAGTCGGCTTCCTCTTCTTTGTAAGCCAGGGTGAGCTTCACTGGGGAGTACATCTGTCTCAGCACCTTGAGGACTGCCTCTTGAATGAACTCCACGTCCTCTGGGGGACAGTAGTCATCCTCGCTTGACCTGCAACAGGAAATAGCTCCCATTACTTCATGTTCTTATGACGATCGTTAATGGTCAGTAGGCGTAATATCGTCTGAGAAATGACAACGTGTAGCTTGGTAGAAATTCAGTGATGTACGAGAGGAACGCACTGCTTCCAGTCTTCCGAGTGGAAAAGTGAGCCGAGTAGGCAACAAGTTCTGCAGACAGAGAGGCGTCACATTGCCCATACACACACAAACACGTGTCTTGTGGAACTCCAGCCCATAGCAGGATAACAGAGGCAATAACATAATCTGAGGGCTACAATAAGGCGACTGGATATGAAACAAAAAAGAATTGTCCAAACACTGACCCTCTGGGTCCTGTGGAACACTGGGAAATCATTATCGTATTAGCCGGAATACGAGGTGAGGTCTAGTCTCAACCTACTTTCTTATCTTTAAGAAACAAAAGGAGGCTTATAAGATTGTACTTGTCCCGGGTGATTATGATGATGGAGAATTTGGTGGAATGAAGATTGGCAGGGGAAACCGAAGTACTCGGAGAAAACCCGCCCCAGCGCCATGTAATATTGTAATATGCACTTAGACTTTTGATCATACTATATACTATTTTAATGTGTAATTTTTATGTTAGCCAAGAGGGTGCTCCATGAGACAGTTGAAACCGTCTGTCGCAAGCCTGATACATGTTATCAACTCCTGACCTTTTAACACTTCGATAACATGTTCCCCCAAGCTGAAGAGAAGAGAGTCTACTTTTTTGGTTCGCCCACGCGCTATGCTGCACGTACACAATTGAACTGTTAAACTCTGTACTCATGACTCCCCCCACCCTTTTTGGCCTTCTTCTTAAAGTTTAATATATAATACCAGTAAGATTAAAAACAGCAGGAGACTTCTTCGAAAATCTGTACTGTATACATACTGTATATATTACCTACATCTTTTACTTCTTTTAATAAAAACTTTGTATAATTGTTGAGCATAGGAATTCGTCTTCAATTAGTGGGTCCCTTACCCGCCTTACCCAGCAAGAAGATATTACAGCCACTTTGTCCACCACAAATCCCACTTGACAAGAACCGAGCTCGAACCCGGGCCGCCGCGGTGGGAAGCCAGGGACTATTTTTTTAATTCGCTTGATGGGGGGTGGAGTTCAACTGGGTCCACTCGGCACGGCGGTCACTGATTGGCCTATTGTAGCCTGCCCTGGGTGATTATGATGATGGAGAATTTGGTGGAATGAAGATTGGCAGGGGAAACCGAAGTACTCGGAGAAAATCCGCCCCAGCGCCACTTTGTCCACCACAAATCCCACTTGACAAGAACCGAGCTCGAACCCGGGCCGCCGCGGTGGGAAGCCAGCGACTAACCGCTTGAGCTATGGCGCGGCCCTATGAGATCACCTTACTGTCCGTTTCTGTCTCTCCCTTATTTTTGTTCTGTTTACTTTGGGGGCCATCTTGTATAAGAGGAAACTAGGCGATTAGTTCATCCAAGAACGTCTTGTTTTTCCAGGTACTCTTTCTTAGAAAAGAGGGGTCGCTTTATTTTATAGTACTTGAAAATAAATATAAAGATGATTATGAGCAATTAATGTTATTTATATCTGTGAAACTACCCAGAATTATCTTTATGGAGGTAAAGCTTTTTGCAATTCAATAGAGCACTTCTTAAGCATTTGTAGTATTCACCTGATGATGACCAGATAAAATGGCCGAAAACTTTTGTGATTTTAATAAAACAAATTGAATGTTATATGTTATCTGCGTTAGACGGAACATGATAATTAATTACCTACAATTATATTTATGGTATTACATTTTGAATTTATAATTTTTAATAGCATAGTTATTACTTATTTTTGCTTAGCAATATGACATTTCGCCTTCGTAACTCGCTTCCAGGAACGTAACTGTTCGCAAGAGCGATGTCTGTCCGCTTAGGCTCGCTTACTGAAGACTTCGAACAATAAACGACAATAGACTCGCCTTGCAGGCCTGCAAACTCCGTTAGAGAGAGGAGAAACTACAGGAACACTTGTGGCTTCCCTGCAGAGCAGATCGTTTGTCAATTTATGAGCTACAAAATGGAAGCCCCTTGCGCCGTAATGAGCCTGGTTATTTTCTTGTAACCACGCTTAGAGAAAGCGATTCATCAAGGTGCCGAGACTAGCCGCCATTACTCAGACTAAAAGCCGAAACAGAACCGAGTTGTAATTAACAAAAGAACACGGAATCATGAAGCTGCGGTTCGCGGTAGAAGCTTAATTACATTAAGACTTCGAGCCATGGTATAAAAATTAGCAGATGGCAGAGTGCAGGCATATGCGAATATAAATGAATGTTTAAATAGGTGTATGGAAACCGTCATGTATACGAGCTAAAATAACTCGTTTTTAAATATAATTTTATACCATGTACTAATGTAACACTCGTGGAGAATCCAACAGGAAGTCTCATCACTTGTTACATAAGCTTTTGTACTATTAGCTTCCTTTGTTTTCTCCCGTATTCCTTTCCAGTATCTAAAAATAACTTTTAACGTCACCTCCCACGAATAACATGCACAAATATTCAATCGCAAACCGTCACTTTCATACAGTATACTATACTTCATACATCGACATGAAAATATTAATAATTCGCACAGATGCACGACCGCATCTGTGGTCTAGTGGTCAGATTTTCTGAGAAATAGTGGTTCTGGAACGGGGTTCAATCAGCCTCGTGAGGATAACTGTTGAGATATTTCAAGGAAATAGCGGCCCCGGTCTAGAAAACCGAGATTAACGGCCGTGGGGATTCGTTGCGCTGACCTCGAGACATCCTCTATCCGTTAAAATTGGCACTAACTTCGCCTACAAGCCGCGGTCGCTCGGTCGGTATAGTTCGCTTGCGGACTACAGGCCACGGAGTTTGTTTGTTTTTTACTTTGTATAGATAACTCAGTGCAGTGACTACGCTACGGGAATGACGACCAAAGGATCGGAGTTAGTCTCCCGTCAGGGAACACAGATATGTCTCTTCTATACAACATCCAGACAGGTTCTAATGTTCAGAGCAAAGCCGTTACCAAGTAGCGCTGTGAAGACCGTGACTGACTTCGTGTCATAATGATTTTTAAAGTGTAGTCACGAATTGTGTGTTGAAGTACCAAATAAATCCGATTGTCAATTCAAACACCGTCTATAGTCACACAGTCACGTGACAGTATTTAATGTATGCCCTACCTTTGACTTGGTACATCCTTGTCCGTCACAGTAGCAATAGTATAAAAGATTATCAGCTCCGTCCAGTGTGACTGATAAATGTTTTTCTTTTTACTCTTTCATCCTTGACATGTTACGGCCTTAGAGACCATCTTCAGGAGGATATATCAATACAGGCACAAACCACTATTGCATTGTGATTGGTCAGTATCCATACATACGTACAGTATCATTACACTGCCATGAATATAACATCTGAGCCTTTAAGTACAGCGAGGTGCATGAATACATTAAAATATTTATAAATTATTATAATTAGTTTATTTAAAAGTGTGGTTTAAAAATATTTTGTTAAAATCTAGAACCAATTTGGTTTGTGCCCTTTACACTGCCTCTCTTTAAAGGAAGTTGAGTGTCTGCCACGTCATGGTTATGTTGTTTGATGAACAGGACTCTTTAGTGTTGTTCAATTGTTCGGGCCCCGCTGTTGTTAAACTGTACTAAGCCCTACCTACTAATTACATGTTTCGTAAAAGTAAAAATCAACTGTTACAAGCTCACAGGAATCTCTGTGCTTCTGGGGGCGTGCGACATTTCGGACGAACTTAACGTTCCCACTTTCAAGGGCGAAGTGTGGTTCGGCTTGCTCACCGCGTCAGCTGGTTTATTTCTTCGTTGAAGACAGATGATATGTGTTTCCGAAACGTCGGGTTCTCTCCAAACTACATATGGCGTTAGAACCCAAGGACCACATTTTTCATTGCCACCAGCGTGAGAACCTCATGCCCAACAAAAAGTTGAAAATATGTTAATGATTTTACTGACGCCTTACCGGCCCACCGCCTCCGTCTGTCTAACAACATTAAAATAATTGACCGCATTTTTATCAGATTATGTCTGCACGCAAGATCATACATAATGTAACTACTAACTAATTTTTCGTGATAATTTCTTTCGATATATTCATAAAAACCACTGAACATGCTGGCCTCTATAATTCAAAGAAACCACAAAGACTGTCAAATCAAAATAGAAGCGCGTTACTTTATCGTCACAAAACAAGCCTTACCCTTTGTAATAAACTATTCTATCCAACATTAATAATAATGGTTACACAACTTTCATTGATGTGTACTTTCCGATGTCGTTTCTTTTTTAGGGCGACATTATTTCCAGGTCTTTGCATGTCTCTTAAAAGAACACGCAATTTTACCATATATCTTCATATGTAGACAATTAGACTTTTCATTCGCTCGAACTTGGTGACACGTCTACTGCAGAGAACACTATAATTAGTGGACATTATTTCCGTGCTAGCTTATTTTTTGTTTCGTTTCTACCCTTACTTGCTCCCCACTCTTTGACATGGTGAATTGTTTCTTTGCGTCTGGTGGCAAGGAGGAGGTAGTAAAGCACAAGGCATATCTGCATGTCTTCAGGCAGGACCCACCTTGCAATTTACTGTGCGCTTAATAATACAGCGAGCAGATGGAACGTCTTGCTCTGGGCCCCTCTAGTTTTGTCTGAAGGCACAGTCAAACTGCATACATTGCTGTCTCTTTCAAACTCTGGAAGATCTCTGACAGTGCCTTCAGCACGTCACCTTTCCCAAGATAAATTGTTTACGGTCAATGAAATATTCCTGTATGGCAGTCTAGGTATCACTGTTTATAATTTAATAACATCACATAATATGTGTGACTATAGACGGGGTTCGGATAGGTGACTCGATCTATTGACCACTTGTATACACCACTCGGAACTACATTTCACAGATCACTGACACACACAGACTAGTGTCCTCAGTCTGTTACAGTTTCCATTAGCCGTTTCCTGGCAACGGATTTTAAATAAAAATGTCATTGAATTACACAAACATAAAGTCTTCTCTTTACAGTCGCACTTTCAGCTGAGCATCCTTGCAACTAACTAGTTTCAAAAGTCAAAGTCAAATTATCATTGCGGCTGACGGTCAGTCAGTCAGTCTTGGTATCGAGCCCAATCTGGATCTTATGACCAGATATTTATCTGTTTGACAGTTTCGGTCTTGTTTTTGTGAGGCGCCCTCTCTGACCAGAGGACGGGTCTGTCTTTTGTCAGAGTAATAGTCTGCAGTAGCAAGGCATTTGTAATAATGTAAAAGATATTTACATTTTACATGCTCAATATATATATATATATACAGGGCCTCTGTCAACCAAGTCAAAGTCACATTGCGACTGACGGTCAGTCAGTAAGTCTTGGTGTCGAGCCCCATTTGAGGGCTCATGACCAGATATTCATTATTGTTTGACAGTTTTTGTTGACGGTCTTGTTTTCGTGGGGCGCTCTCTCTGACGAGAGGACGGTTCTGTCTTTTGTATATGCTGCTGACCCTGCCAGCGCAGTCTTTCTCGGGTCCGAGTCCCTTTGGACTCGTGACCATATTTTACTGTTTGAGACTTACCTTCCTGCTTTTAACATCTCAACACGGACCGCACAGAAACACCCTCGCTTCCAAAAGTAACTCAATTGTTGCGTGCGTAGTAGTTGTCGTGGAAACGTGTTTACCGAGCCGTTGCATAGAAACGGTCGTTATTTACAGAGTCACCGCTTAACATCAGGTGTGTACAGCAAAGTATGTACCTTCACGAAATCCGCAACACATTTATATGTGTGAATATTGAGACGCTGACGGTGGGCGTAAACTCAGAATGTTCCAGACGGAGTTTAAGAAAACGTTTCATTTTACGATTACCCTAGACCGCAGGGTCATTATCTCGTACATAAACTCGTTTCTCGCTCCATTTAATGACATTTTACCAACTCCAAGGGCACTTTTCCATGGGCAGCATCATAAAATGAAATCCAACTAAAAGCATGTTCCACATAAAGCGAACTTGTCAAAAGTGATGCATTTAGTGATTTTTTATGGGCTCATTTTACGGCACTGTCAGCAGCTGGACCAGTCGAATGGCAGGACGTGGAATGGATTAAAATATTTAGAACGAAGCGGTCGTGGCCTGATCGGAATATTATCCCGTCATTTTTCTGGAGAGAGTGGGGAGGAGCATTAGGTAATTAATGACATAATTTGTGCAGCAATAACGACTGCAAAGTAATGTGGAAGTTGTCGCGCCTCCACCCTCCTCCTAGATATCATCAGTGAACCCTTATCTTCTGGGAAAGTTCGAAAAAACTGGCGTCAGCCTCGAAATTCGAGCCAGGATCCTCTCGAATACAGATAAATGGGACAAATGAACACATTCCCTCCTTCCACGAAGAGAATCACTTTGTATGCAAGGTCTAGCCACCGCAACTTGCAGTTGCAAACTCTGTTACTATTGTCACTGTCGTAAGGTTACCTCGTGTCTCGAATAACGGCCTTCTTACCGTATTAATTTGCATTTGCGCTTCGCCCTGACCAGTTTGCCAGGTAGAATGACTGAAACAAAAAACAGAACACACTATGGAACCCTCACTCCGAAATGAAACGCGATGTTTTGGGGAGGGGAGACAGAAGTAAGATAAGAAAAACTCATAAAAGGCATTCACGGAGCCCCACCGTTGAGGGAACCCAATTCTGCGCTGTTCGGAGCAAGTTTTCTTGCCAGGAACAGCTCTGAACCGTGCCAAAGTCAGGATATTTCAAGTCTCAGGCACATAACAACATTCAAATACCTAATCTTGTATGTAAACTTAAAAATGGGGGATGACAGTGGTAGGGCGGTTTAAGGTATGAAAGTTTTCGCCCGTTCAGACACTGAGATCGTGGGTTCGAATCCCTCTCGAAGCATAGATATATGTCCGCGTTTCTTCTGTGTTTGTGCTCTCTTGAGTAGGTAGCGGCATTGCGACAGGTTGATCCCCCGTCTAAGAAGTCCTAACGACTGTGTATAAGATTCATAGTTCCAGATTATTTCTAAAGGGAAAGAGGCCAGAGGAACTAATGCGAGAGGCAGAAGAAGAAGAAGGCAAATTACTGACAATCAGAATGACAAGTCGACCTGTGTAGAAAAGTGTCATGTAAGTAATCTAATTATCTATATGGACTTAATGCTTTTCGACTCTCTTTTTGGCCATTTTCAGAGACAGTTGCTTTGAAGTTGCTATGGAAAATAAGTTGCTTTTACTGTCAAGCCTCTGAAGATGGCCCTAAAGTGGGCCGAAAACGTGTAAGCCCACACAGATAGCTGGAGTATTTACATTAAACTTGCTTACACATTTCGATTTGTCGTTCCAAGATTAATACAAGTGAAACCGTTGGGTTTATAGAATTCAGGAAAATTTTATGACCAGCTGAGAGACTATCAGCTTGTCATGGCGCATGGATTTAGTCACCTTCTAACATCTATAACGCTGTATGACTAAGGAAGTGTATTTTCCCAACACTAAGTAACAATTCTTAAGTCTCCATATTCGTTTTGCCTTTGGGGATGAAACCGAACTGGGGTTCAGATAAGCTGACTGTGATGATGTAAACTGGATTAAGGTGGCTCTGAATGCCCAACATTGTGAAGAATATTTGGGCTCTGTAAGAGCGATGAATTTATTAGAGCTGAATATGTGAAGAGTTTCCATTTTCTGGGATATAACGCAGGCTTTGTCGGAGAAAACCTGCCCCAGAGCCACTTTGTCCACCATAAATCCAACTTGACCAGACCCAGGATCGAACCCGAGCCGCCGAGGTGGGAAGCCAGCAACCAACCGCTTGAGCTATGGCGCGGCCAATCGACTGAACGTTAGTAGGACACACTAAAGTTAAAGTCATGGTTTTCTTTACGGCCCCATACGAAACAAATGACAATAGTTCAGATGAACAAAATTTTCTATGCAATTAAAACAGCGAAAGTAATTGACATATGCCATCATTGCACAATATACACCTAGCAGAGGTTTCTGCATGAAGAACGGTTAATTGAATAGCAGAATATCCTTCTATATTTGCGTGAGAAACCCATTTGTCTAGCAGGATTAAAGGCAGGGAGATTGGGGAAGAAATTAGAATGAACTGAAAATTCTCCAGTAGGAACGAGTGAAAGTAACAAGGGGAAAGAAAGATGTTAGATTCCAGAAAATATTAAGGGAAATTCGTGGATCTTATTTGCTGCAACACCATTTGAAGACTTAATTTATTCTAATTTTAATATTCCCGGACCACTGTTCTAAAAGGCACAAGTTGCACCGATCCTTGCTCGACGGTAGCAAGGAGGTTAATGAGGAATACATTCCTCTTTTAGAATAATGACTGCAAGTGGTTTGTCTTTACTGAAGTTAAACTCAGTGAACTACAAAGAGAATTCGATCCGAGGAATAAAATGTGGAATCAGTGGAGCTGATAAAGTTAAAACCTTACTACGGCTGCAAGGAGATCAAAGGGACTGTACCAGTACAGTCTCAAAAATGAACAAGACAATTATTTATTGATCTTTATGCCGCTAACTGAGGCCACTCTGTATAATAATGTGAAGAGAAAAAAAATCAGACTGTACAACGAAATATTTTTCTAAATAACTTCTAATAAAAACAGTTTGGGGGGAATTTATTAATAAAACTGTAAATACTGGCTACATTTTCGGCTTCGTCATAGTGAAATTCAGATACATGTCTCAACAGGGCGGATAGTCAGGCGGCAATTTGTTTTTTCAATTGTCATGTCCAGTGACTTTAAGCTTGAACAGTTCTGGGATGCATCGTCTTTTAGTCTGGTAGAAGTTTATTGGCATTTCGGAGTGATGTACTGCCTCCGTCTTCAGGATTAAAGAATGTGTAAATCAACCAGCAAGCAGATTCTCACTCTGTTTACAGTTTTCTTGGATTTCTCTTCAATCTTATTCACAGGCTTCACGGCGTCACGTCCCAGAACATATAGAACTATGACTGCATCATCTTACGGCTGATGGCCGTAGGCATTGTTACTTACCACTGCTACTACTATGACACCTGCTACCAATGCTACTAAGGCTTTTTTTTTTCATTTTTTTAATGCTAGTGGGGTGGAACTAAGTCCCTTGTAGTGCGGCCACTTCTGGCCTATTGTACCAGCCCCAGATGATAGGTGAGGGTGATTGTGGAGCAATTGGTGGAATGAAGATTGGCAGGGGAAACCGAAGTACTCGGAGAAAACCTGCCCCAGAGCCACTTTGTCCACCACAAACCCCACTTGACCAGACCCGGAATCGAACCTGGGCCGACGCGGTGGGAAGCCAGCGACTAACCGCTTGAGCTATGGCGCGGCCTACTAAAGCCTTAGTACGGTCATCAGTCCATTGGCACAAGGGAATTATGATGATATCCAACACGCGTCTCTCTGAAGTCATCCCACCTAAGCGGGACACACGGAACTCTGTTGTCACACAGAGCATCGAATTATTTTTTCCTCCTAGTCATGCGGCACCGAAGACCACGGCAGTAAAACCATCATCGGTGGATAAAATGAATTCGATTTATAGCCTATATGAGGGAAATCTTCCGTATCCGATAAGAATGAAGGTAAATAAAACAAAAATTATCTTGTTTATATGGCTTTCATTTTCAGAATCTCACTCTGAAGGCTGTTCAAATGAAACCCGTTCACGGTGTAAGTGATCATATGATTGTATGAATGATACTTTAGCACGTAAACCCGTTGCTAGGTAAAGACCGCGAAACAATGAACGAGACAACGGCCGTTGCTAGGCAGCTTCGCGTGTTCAACAATGAAAGTACTGTTGGAGGCGGTATTTTCTATGTAGTTCGTTTCTAGGCTATATTACTCGACCGACCGAGTGTGGAGGCGGGTCTGCGAGTCGTAAGAGGCGACGAAACGGGAAGTCTCAAATCTGAGACAGTAATATATTGACGCGAGTCCCAAGGGACCCAGACCCGAGAAAGACCGCGCTGGCAAGGGCCAACAGCATATGCAAAATACAGACCCGTCCTCTCGTCAGAGAGGGCGCCCAACAAAAATAAGACCGTAACTGTCAAACTACCAAGACTTACTGACTGACTGACTGACTGACCGTCAGTCGCAATGTAACTTGAACTTGGAGGCGGGTTGAATACCCCCACTGTGACCCTGGAAGTCGTAGGAGGCGACGAAAAGGGAAGTTCCAAATCTGAGACAGTAAAAGATGGTCGCGAGTCCCAAGGTACTCGGCCCGAGAAAGACTACGCTGGCGAGGACCAGCAGTATATAAAAGAAACAGACCCATCTTCTCGTTAGAAAGGGCGCCCCACAAAAACAAGACCGTAAATGTCAAACAGTGATAAATATTGACACCAGTACTGACTGATTGACTGACCGCCAGTCACAATGTGACTTTCACTTTGACTTGTTCACGGTATAGAACAAAGTGAAGCCAAATATATAAATAAAAGAGGCTTAAACTGGATGGTGAAGAAAGCAGTCTTCTGGGATTTGGCACCGTGTATACGGTGCCAAATCCCAGAAGACTGCTTTCTTCATAGTCACCGCCGTGAAAGCCTCAAATCTTACATAAACTGGATGGTGTTCAAGCTTACGACCATTCAGTTACTAAGCTGCCATTGTAGCATAAGA